TTCTTTTTCTGTGAGCAAACAAACACGCGTGACGAGCGGAGACGAGAACAGCCCAGTGTCTGTGCTTTAATCTGCTTTAAAGGCAAAACCACAACTTTAAAACCATGTTTTCTCTCAGAAATGGGRGTCCAACGCGAGGAAGCCTCCTGTCCTTGATGGAGGGCAGGGAGAGAGGAGGAGGAGTCTGGGTGAGACAGATGAGAGGGTTTCCCCCTCCTGACACGCACACTTAAAAAAACGTTCATCCTCACTTAGCTGCTCCCCTCCTCTTCGCTCCACTGGAATTAGAGCCTGAGGATTAGAGAGAGCGGAGGACCACAAGATTGGGAGTGGGATCATCAAACCAAGGCGGTTCTGGTTGAAATGTCACGTTGCTCCGTGAGAAACTGGCTTTTCTYAATGTTAGAACTGGTCACCGAGTTAGATCTGTGGAGCTGGATGAGAATCAGACTTGACTGATGTGGAACCAGTGAGACCAGCTGTGGTGAGGAAGCTCAGGAGACGCCAGCCTTCTCTGGTACGAACATTAAGAACATGACACAAATGTGTAGGTGTGCGGTGCGCCATCGTAACGTCTGCATCGGAGCGACTGTGCAGAAACGTTCCCAGAATGAGTTGCACGAGTGTGTCATCACGTCTTCCTGTGAAACCTCAACACACAGTATCTGTAGATTGATTATTGTGCATTTTGCAGACTTGAAGCAGGCATGTGTTGATCATCTGCAATGAGGTGTCCTGTTACTTGGCAGACTTGATACTATGTGAAGCAGCTGGCTCAAGACCCATGATGTTATTTTTGTAGGATGAGTGTGTGTGTGTTTGTGTCTGGAAATAAAAGGTGTTTGATAAGCTGTCACAAACCACCTATCTGATTTCCTCTCTGAATAGAAAGGAAGTGACTCTAAATGCCAGATTCACTACCTCTTTTCACAGCGTTGCGTTATTCTTCACCTCAGTTTTAGAGCAGGAGCCACTTGAAGCCTTTCTCTAGTCGAATGGTGTGTGTGTGATGAGCCAACGTGACCCTGAGTGTGTGTGTGTGTGTGTGTGTGTGTGCAGTGCTGTAGATCAGGGTTTTTTAATTAAAATTCACCAAGCTCCACTTAAATATTCATTCTTCTAGCAAAGACCCAAACTATGTAGAATTAAATACACTTTTAATGTCAGCCATGCTAGTTTTCCAGATGTGGGAATTACCGTAAATGCTAGAAAAGCTGTGCTGCCTAAAACTAATCGCAGTGAAGCACAGCAAAGTTGCGGTTCACAGTTTGCGTTCTCAGTCTTTCGCAGAGTTTTCCCTAGAACACAACTACTCATACTTTGTGGTAATCCCCGTGATGTCGCAGAAACCGGAATTACACTACAGCAAGGAACGTCATTTTCCAACATCAGTTTTTCTCATGCGTTTGTGAATTTTAAATTATTAACAACAATGTGATTTACTAATTTTCTAAACTTTAACAGAAATTAATTTCCATAAAAAAAACGCACAATACAGTATGATACGTGTCACATGCATGTGAAGCATTAGCACCATCTAACGGTAACATGTAGCTGCTAACTGTTTAGCTCTCGTGTGTTTTTGTTTGGTTCTTCAAATACACTAGGATTTTTCTGGACAGTATCCAATATTCGTGTTTTTTTATGATTTGCAAGTACTCTAAGAATGTGAACCCTGCAAAAATTGGGGCTTCAGTGTATTGTACAAGCTGCGCAAGCTAAAACGGATTACCTTAATATTACCGTAATTTATAGAAAAGCTGCGCCGCCTAAAATGAATTCTCATAAATCTGGGGGAAACTTCATTGCCTCTTCAAATGAWATACCATAAATTGTAGAAAAGTTGTGAGTTTTTAATAAATTGTACGCCATTTGATGACCCCTAAAGTAGATTTTATTACAGTTTGCTAAAAACAATTTGCTTCCTTTCCAAGAAACTTGCCCAGTTCAAACTGAAATGTTCGTGGCTGCAAGATTTAATCAAACTTTTAATCAGGGAGGTCAGGAGTTTGTCAGTTTTACACCACAAGAGTGGTTTAGTGAGGACTTCCTAAGTTTCACTCAAATCTGTCCAGTGGTTCATGAGAGATTTTAATAATACAGCAGATAATGTGTCGTGAACAATGAAGAAGTGAAAAGCTCAAACAGTGTTTGAACTTATAAAATCTTCACGGGGTTTTTCTAAACCTTTAGCTCCACTGGGCTCATCTTTGTCGACTGACTTTTATCACATCATGTTTTTAGGATGATTTATTGTCTTATTTTTGGGCCAAGTTCAGCTTCTTTGCTCTCAGATGTGATTTTAAAAATATTGTTAAGATTTAAAAAAAAACCTGAAAAATAGTGTTTTTCCTTGTCGTGTCAGAGATGGAGAAATGGAGCCAACATTGAAACGACTCGTTTTTAAGTCTGGATGAAGCCCGGTGGTCTTTGTTCTCTTGTTTCTGTGCAGCTCTGAGCGACTCGGGTCACGCTGGCGAAGTGAAATGAACATTTCGAACACTTACTTGAATCCCTCAGCAGGYTTCTCCTAACGAGGCTGACAAACAGCCGAAGCACAGCTTGACTTTTCCTTTGTGGCTGCTTGTTACTCAGCATTAATTGAGCTCCCTCTCTTCCCCACTTCTTTTTCTGGTTATATATGCATTTAAAAAAAAAAACATAACCTTGATTTTTAGTTATCCAGAAATGAAAATAATATTGGGGCTGCTTGTTATGACAGACATGTGAAATATGACAGTGTTTCTTCCTTCCTTAGGTGTTCCGCAGAAAAACCACAAGTCTGCATTAGCCGACTTATCGCTCAGCTGCAGATATTTTGTGTAACTGTAGCTCATGAGCTTCTGTTCGATCGGAGCACACACTGTTTCGGGTGTGTTTCACACTCGGGGTGGAAGGCAGCGTGGAGCTCAGGAGATACAGGAACTTATCAAGTTCAATGTGGCTGTTACTCATCGGGTATTCTCAATCCTCGTGTCGAGTTTTTTTCTTTTGTCTTTGGCTAAAATTTAAGGACATTTAGGAACAAATAAACCGAGTGAAGGTACAACATTCACACAGGCAGTTATCAGAGTTTTAAAACTATAACTTACATGATTTTTCAGTGTTTGTTTACAGTGTGTATCATTATCTACGATAAAAATAATCACTAAATACACATTATTCACCACCTACTGCATAATTTGTAATAAATGAGCGATATCAACAATTACGAGTTGTTTGTTTACCAGAGGGGTCAATGACAAAGTACCAGAGTTGTAAAGTAACTTAGCACAAATACTTTATTGTACTTAAGTAGAAATTTTAGTTATCTGTACTTTACTTGAGTAGTTATTTTTCAGCCTACTTTTTACTTCTACTACTTACATTTTCTGTACTTTTTACTCCTTACATTTTTTAAAAAGGTTAAAAAAGTAGAAAGTAGTTTCTCCTATTTCATTTCGACTTGTTATTGTTTAAAAAATGTTATCCTGAAAAATTGTGGCTCCAGTAAAGAATGAATTTAATTGTTGTTGGATGAGAAGTATAAATATATACCATTCTGATACTAGATAAAGTTTATACATAAGCCATCAAAACTGCACACCTTTAGAAAAAATATTAATAAGAGATCACCTCCATATAAATGTATTTTGTAAAATCTAACCGTTCATTTTTACTCAGTACTTTTATTACTTAAGTACATTTTATGTCAGAAATTTACTTTTTATACTTAAGTATAAAATAATTTTCAGATACTTTAAGACTTACACTCAAGTAATATTCTTAGAGGAGATTTAAACTTTTACCAAATTAATTTTACGATAAGATACTTGTACTTTTACTCAAGTATCACTTTCAGGTACTTCATACAACACTGCAAAGTACAAGTACTTTCCTTTAGAAAATTAGGTTATCTATACTTAACAGAAGTATTTATTTTTCAGCCATTTTTCTGCTTCTAATCCTTACATTTTAAAAATGTACTATTTTATTTCTATTTCAGTTGTATTGTTATGATTAAAAAATGTTGTATATAAATGGAGCCATGAGAATTATGATGAGGAGGATTATTATACCAACAACAGGACATATAAATGTATAATTAATTTAATATTATAGTCATCATGGCCTTTAGAAAAATGTTTTTATAGAGGGGGGTTGTAATTATGGGCCCCTATGTCCTTAATGTCTTTTTATTCCCTTACATCACTTTTACTTTTATACTTTAGTTTTAGAAACCAATTTTATACATTTTTGTTGTAAAARCCTGGTATCTATACTTRTACCTGAGTAATGAATGTGTTAATTACCAACACTTCAAAGAGCCTCAGTGATGAACGTTGGGTTGGGATTAACATTGTTTGATGGATTGTGAATAAGCTGCGTGTTTCAAAGAGTTTAACTCTGATCGTTTTATGAGAAATGACAGAAATGCACTCAGAGTATGTGTTGACGGTGACTCGCACCAACTTTTAGCTCCATATCCGTAAAGTTAAAGTTAAAATCATTTCAGCCTGGTGAGTTCATTACTTTCTGAGCATTTCATTAAAGATCTGTCCACTTGGTCATGAGATATTTTGTTAACAAGACAGAAACCAACACGGATAAGAAAATGAATTTATATMACAGCATTTGACTGATTTTAACATTTTTTATATAATCCCTGTTGTTTTTGTGATCTTCGTTTATTTGTTTTCACTCCCGCAGTTGTAGACAGTTCTTGATTTCTCAGTTTAATATCAGAGTTCCCCTCAGTGGAGGACAGGAGGWGTTTGATTTTCATCTTTTCTCATCGGGTCCTGGTATGTGTGTGTTTATGCGGTAAAGGGCTGGTGTAATTTGATGGAGCTGAGATTGTGTTGCCACAGTGATCCGGAGCAGTGGGACTCTCAGGTTGTTGTGTGTTTGTGTGTGTGTTTATGTGGCCGTTGTGCCGCGTGAAGGATGAGAGAGTGTTTGATGATCTTTTATTTTTTTTATTTTTTGCATCTGAGCGCAGRGTGTTTTTCTGCCCTCAGTACCTGATGACCTGAGTCCAGAGGAGCGACAGGAGCTGGAGAGCATCCGCCGCAGAAAACAGGAGCTGCTGCAGGACATACAGGTGAGACCCCCCCCACCCTCCACTCCCACCCCCCGGCATTTCTATTCCTTTTACGCAGCTCCMTTAAAAAGCCAGGCTCTTCTATTCTACGGGGAGCAAATCTAGACGTCAGCCTTTATTTCAGTTATTGTTGAACCGGAGGCGGATGTACAAACTTAGTCATAAATGATTTGTGTGAACCACTTGTTTGTGCGCTCCACTCTAGTTGCGATCAGAACTTTTCAAATAAACACAATCGTGGAGCGCCGCTGATATGAGCTCATATATCTGTTCTTTCTAAGTATAGCACAAATCAGAATGTGGTTTTCATGCATTTGATAACATCACTATTAAATTAACTTAGTGTGATTTTTTTACAAGGCGTCAAATTTCTCCTATATGTTGTTTTTAAGAGTGAAAGCTCTTCTGAGGGTTGTTAAAATATGTTTATATGTTTAATTAACGTACAAATTGACAACATTAGGGTTGTGTATCAGCTGCCTGGATTCTAAAAATCAGTCCACTAAACAAAAAGACAGAGAACTTCGTTTTTTTAAATCATATTACAGTATTATTAACCTTTGGCCTTGAAAAAGGGAAGATTACTATAAAAGCAGGAATTGGCAGTTTAAAAAAAGCTGAAGTGGTTTGCAGCTCTTCCACAGGTTTTTGGATTTGATGAGGTGAATTTCAGCTCGAGCATCAACATGTTTCAGCAACTTTTTTCAAGACAAAAACGTGGTTAATTTAGTCAACTTTAGTTATTTGACTTAATTGATAATTAATGACTTATTTGCAGTGTAACATTAAATTTATAACCCTGAGTTTTTTACTAACACAGTTTCCGATGCCGAACATTGTTAGTTATGTCCTGACTGTAAACTGGTTCAGATTCACGGTGGTTTCAGCTGTTTTGAAATGTCTCCGAGCAGAAACCAGCAGATGTTTTTGTGTTTGCATTTTTCCCCTCGTTGTTTAAATGCCAGACTTTAACTCTGCCTCCTCGGTGTCCTTGAGTCCATGTCTTCATGTCTGCTGGACCCACAGGTGTGTGTATGTGTGTGTGTTACTGTACACACTGGACGACGGATGACTCCCTCATGTGTATATGTGTGTGTTTCTTTTCCTCGCTGCCTGAAGGGATGATTTACCTCCTGCGTCTGCTCCTTTTACAACCTTAGCGCCTCCGTCTGCACTCGAGGCCTTGTAATTAAATAAAAATCTAAACTAATCAAATAAACAGTAACTGCCTTAGGTTTGTATCCAACAGCTTGAAGCCAGTATAAGGTTTTATGCTGGTTTTGAAGAGCTAACCACATAATATATTAGATTTTTTTTTAATTTATTTATTGCATTTTGCATTAAATTACATTAAAATCATCAAAATGTCCTGGTTTCTGTGTGCATTTGTGAACATTTAGTGTTTTTTTATGCTTTGTGTGATAATAAATTAGAGTTTTTGGAAAAGTTTAAGATCTGTTTTTAATTTTTATCATCTGGAAAGCACAATAATTAGCATGTTCTACTTGGTCGCAGCCTTCAAGGCACAGAATTTAATATTAGCTGCTGCTATCTGTTAGTAAACAGATTTTCTGTTTTATTATCCTGTAAATCCACCATGAACAAACTAAGAAATATTGACCTGTTGTAAACATTGCTTATTTTCCATTAATGTGGAAAATTTAAAAACTTTAGTTCTCTATGAACTTTGTTTCTTATTTATTCAAACAATTAGTATTTTCTCAGATCTCTCATTCAGTGTTTTCTCTAATAGTTCTTCTGCAGACATGTGATGAAAGGAAAACAAAAAAACAAAACTGAGTGTCCTTTATGGTATCAGGGTTCTGGATACTCGTGTTCTGGTGCTGATTCTTGACCACGTTTTGACCCGTAGCGTCGTGACGAATTCCGTTCCACAAACATCAGGAACAGAACATTTAGTGTTTGTGTCTGTGCTGAGTCAGCGCAATAAAAAAACACAAAACAATAGTGTGACTGCTGATTCTGTGTTCTCATTCTTTATTTTTTTTTCATATCTTTGTTGTTGTACTTGTTTACAAACATTCAGCTCATTCAGAAGATGGGTGCCAAGAAGGTTTTACTAACTTTGATACTTTTTAAAAATATGAAATTTTTATTTACAAATATTTTCCCCCTTAAAATACACCGAAATCTCTTAAATTCATTAAGAAAAATTTTCTTTGTAATCTGCCTCAGCAAACGTGCTGTAGTTTTGTCTCCCTGTGCTACTTTAGGTATTAACTAGCATTTTGCAACTTTTAGCCAGGCATTTTTATAATTCGCTTTTAGCTAGTGTTTTGTTTCTTTTAGCTTGTAGTAAGAGTTTTGTTATTTTGCTACTTTTGTCTTTTAGCTGGCCTATTGCTACATTTAGCTAGGTTTTTGATACTTATTGTTTATAATAAGTTTTATTTTGCTACCTTTAGCTGGACTTTTGATACTGTTTTCAGCTAGTGCTTTGTTTCTTTAAGCTTGTAGTAAGAATTTTATTTTGCTACTTTTTGCTGGTCTTTTGTTACATTTAGCTTAGCTTTTAGCTGGTGTTTTGCTTCTTTTAACTTGTAAGAGTTTTATTTTGTTACTTTTAAACAGCTGTTTTGGTACTTGTAGCTAGCTTATTGCTACCTTTAGTTGGCCTTTGATAGTTTTTAGCTAGTGTTTTGTTTCTTTAAGCTTGTAGTAAGAATTTTATTTTGCTACTTTTTTGCTGGTCTTTTGCTACCTTTAGCTTAGCTTTTAGCTGGTGTTTTGCTTCTTTTAACTTGTAAGAGTTTTATTTTAATTTTAAATGGCTGTTTTGGTACTGTTAGCTAGCTGATTGCTACCTTTAGGTTAGCTTTTAGCTGGTGTTTTGCTTCTTTTAACTTGTAAGAGTTTTATTTATTACTTTTAAATGGCTGTTTTGGTATTTTTAGCTAGCCAGTTGCTACCTTTTAGTTGGCCTTTTGATAGTTTTTAGCAGTGTTTTGTTTCTTTTAGATTGTGTTTTGTTATTTTTAGCATTTAGCTGGCCTTTTCCTACATTTAGTTAATGGTTTGATGTATCTGGGTCAGGAGAGGTGGAGACAGGATGGTGGGAACTGTCTGAAGGAGGGACACTCACAGCTGCACCCTTTGGGAGTTTTAGCGGGCGATGCTGGTCTGTTCCTGAAATCTGTGATTTATTGTAAATCAAAGCATCTGCGACGGGTCGGGAGATCACACTGCTGCTGATCAAATAGTTTGTCTTCTGTTCCACGGTGGTGAAACTCTTCCTCTCTGTCCGCTCTCAGAGGCTGAAGGATGAGATCGCAGAAGTGACCAGTGAGATTGAAAACCTGGGCCTGACTGAAGAGAGGTGAAGTATCACTCACATCCCATTTCTGTGCTCGGTGTGTAGGCAGCTCCACTCCACCTTTGTTTGTGAACAAAGTAGATTCATGGAGAAACTCCAGAGATAAAGAGACGGCCATGAGTTTACAACATCAATTTATTTATCAGACATTTTCTTTATTTTCTGTCCTCCAGTTTTAAAACAGACAAATTAAATCCACAATTTTAACTTTCTACAAACAGAAAAATATAGAAACTGTTTTGTTTGTAGGAAAAGTATGCAGAGAAATAAACAGATGGCCATCGGCCGAAAGAAGTTCAACATGGATCCTTCAAAGGTGAGCAGAGTTTAGTCAGAGCTTTTCTTTTTTTTTCATTTATGTTTGAAATAACTCATTTTAAATTTAAGATTMACCTTTAAAGCTTTTTGAGTTGACCAAGTAACCAAACATCTAAATATTTTTTTAATTTGATTTGGTGCTTCGTGGTCTTAGATGTAAAGGATCATTTAGTGTTTTTCATGATTTTATGGACTTCATCTAAAAAGAAACACAAATTTGGAGGCTTACAGGGAAATGTTTGAACTTCCTGTTAACAAGCAACAGTAATTATACCAAAAGTAACAAAAGCAGAATTTGGTATGAGTTAAGTTTCATACAGGACTGTTTTTTTTAAACCGGGTCCTGTGGCTCATCAGTGTGATTTCACAACATTTCTTTCTTTTTTTTTTCTGAATCCTGTTCATTTTTTAGCCTTTTTTGTGTATTATTGCCCATTTCACCCATGTCTGTATGTTTGTGTGTGTCTATTAACAAAATATATGTGACTAATTTAATTAAACTAAACTGGCATTAAAGGTGATGTATCAGTTAAAGCCTGCATGATTTTTTTTTAAATATTTTTGATCCATTTATAAATAAAACAATTTCTATAAAGATCCAAAATGGTTGGTTCTTGCTGTCTAATAAGTTAGATTTACTATTTTTGGTTTGTTTAAAATTCTATTACTTCAAATAGTTTTACTTGTCTTTCCCAGGGGATTCGCTTCCTGATTGACAGCTTGCTGCTGAAAAACACCAGTGAAGACATCGCCCAGTTCCTCTACAAAGGGGAGGGGCTTAATAAGACCGCCATCGGAGACTATCTGGGAGAGAGGTGAGTAATGGTAGCAGGGCTCGGTGTAATTCTCTTATTTTCATGAGCAGATCATGTTTGCATGAAGAGTTTAGGCCTCATTAATGTGAGAAACTGATGTTTTTAATCTCCATTTGTTTTCTGCAGAGAGGAGCTGAACATCAAAGTTCTGCATGCCTTCCTGGAGCTGCACGAGTTCACAGACCTGAACCTGGTCCAGGCTCTCAGGCAGTTCCTGTGGAGCTTCAGGCTGCCGGGCGAGGCCCAGAAGATCGACCGCATGATGGAGGCGTTCGCCCAGCGGTACTGTCGCTGCAACCCCGGAGTGTTCCAGAGCACGGGTACGAGACGACGCACAAATTAAAACTCCTCGATAATTAGATTTGAGGAATTCGTTCCAGCTCTGTGCAGAAACCTTTGTTCTGCTGAACCGGCGCCGTTCTGCTCACAGATACGTGCTACGTGCTGTCGTTCGCCGTCATCATGTTGAACACGAGTCTACACAACCCCAACGTGAAGGACAAACCGTCGGTTCAGAGGTTCACCGCCATGAACCGAGGCATCAACGACGGAGGGGATCTGCCCGAGGATCTGCTCCGAGTGAGTGACGTCTGCTGAGTTACAAAAACTACAAAACTAAAGCTCTCCTTTTGGATCGCTGTCATGGTCTTCACTTTGAGTTTATAGTTCTTTTAAAATGTGTTTTAAATATTAAACAATGCTGTATTTTATAAATCAATGTAAAACTTTTGCATTAATTTGTCCCATATCCTAATGTTCCAAAGCTGAAAGTTTACATGTTGTTTGTAAAGTGAGCTCATATTCTTATTGTTGGTTCACTGCAGCTACACAAGAATGTAAGGAGGGAAGCTATATTAAATATTAGCTTCCAAAAACAGATAATGTGATATTATGAGATATGTGTTGCTACTACAACACTAATATTTAACTTATTATCTATAAATTAATAGTTATTTCAGTTCTGTTTAAGTTTAGCTGGCCGTGGCAGCCATGTTGAGTCTGGCCGACTCTAAAGCTTTATGGGTAATCGATGCACTTCCCCCACGCTGCAGAATCTGTACGACAGCATCAAGAATGAACCCTTCAAGATCCCAGAGGACGATGGGAACGACCTCACACACACCTTCTTTAACCCCGACAGAGAAGGCTGGCTGCTGAAGCTCGGTATGACAACTTTTATTTAAACAATAATTAAACCTTTTAAAACACGTGTCAAACTCGAGGCCCACGGGCCAAATCTGGCCCTCATTAACATTTAAACCGGCCCCAATGATAATACTTGAAATGTGATTTTTATTTTTTAGTGCAGCCCTTTTTTTTTGACAGCTGGCTTACTTTCAAGTTGAATAAATTAAGTTAAAGTTTTCCGTAATCTTTGATATTGCTGTAAAAGGAGCAACAGAGAATCAACTTTAATTATGTATTTTAATAAAGTCAAATCATTTGATTTTTAGTGAGTGTTTTCTTTTTTTTAAAACCTGATTTGCTGCATTGTGATAAAATGTATCCCTAGGATATAATAAGTGAAATAGTTGGAGAGTGAGACACAAGAAATTAATATTAAACCTTTTACTTTATCAGTTAGGCTGTGTTTGTGTTAAATGCTACATAAAACGTTTGTATTTCTATAAGACCAATTTGTTAAAAATCATTTCTTCAGTTAATATTGAAAGAAATTGACCCTCAGTTTGGACAAAGTTTTGAATTTTGGCTCCCCTTGTGTAATGGAGTTTGACAAACGTAAGGGCGCCCTCATGTGGACAGTTAATGTAAAGACATATAAAATAAACATGAAACTATGAAGAGAAATGTTCTTGTTCAGTTTTTTTTATGCTGTTATTCATTTTCTTCTTGTTTGTGTTTCATGGTTGTGACTCCAGGAGGTACGTATTAAAGCTTTAACTCTTCCAGCTTCAGCGCTCTGCTTTGCCTCCACCCCCTCCTTCCACCCACCTTTGTGTCGCAAACAGAATAAAAGCGAAACGAATCATTTTAATATCCAACTTCACCCTCTGCTTCTCGCTGCCGGGCCACGCCTCTAAACAGAGCTTCTGCTGTCGGTGGGCTTTCATTAACCTGCTGCTTCCTGCCGTCCGTGCGTCGCTGCAAACATCAGGTCCAGTTTTGTAGTTTTTGCTGAATCAGCAGCTCCTCTGATCTGTCCTCAGGAGGACGAGTGAAGACCTGGAAGAGACGCTGGTTTATCCTCACAGATAACTGCCTCTACTACTTCGAGTACACCACAGTGAGTTCTGTTTGCTTTTACTTCTGCCGAGCGGTTCTGCTTGTTTAGTTCACACGCTGTGATTTTATTAATTTTTCCTTGTCTGTTTCCAAGGATAAAGAACCCAGAGGGATCATCCCACTGGAAAATCTGAGCGTAAGAGAATTGGAGGACTCAAAGAAGCCGGTAAACCTTTGATTAGTGTTCTGGCTTGTTTCAAAACTTTATTCTCTGGTTACATCGTTCCACGTGCTTCCTCCCAGAACTGCTTCGAGCTCTTCATCGCCAACAACAAAGATCAGGTGATCAAGGCCTGCAAGACGGAGGCCGACGGCCGGGTCGTGGAGGGAAACCACACGGTTTACAGAATCTCTGCTCCGACCGCAGAGGAGAAGGACGAGTGGATTAAAAGCATCAAGTGAGGTTTTTTTTTTATTTAAACCATTTCTGCAGCTCAGACTGATGATGATGATGATGATGATTGCTAACAGTCGTCCTCTTCCTCACACCTGCAGAGCCGCCATCAGCAAAGACCCGTTTTACGAGATGCTGGCTGCTCGGAAGAAGAAGATCTCCGCCCTGAAGGGCCTGTAGAGAACCAGAACAAACCCGGTTCCAGCTGCAGTGACATTTGGACCCAGTTCAGAGGCTGAACGGACTTCAGCAGCAACGCTCCTCTTCTTCGTTTCGATGTTTCGGCTGAAGAAACCAAACTTTGTTGGCTGTAATACGACCCTTTAAACGCCCTCAGGTTCAAACTCCTACCGTCTGTAATCTCTGCTGAAATGAGTCATATTGACCCGAGAGCCTTTTCAACTCCACAACTGCTCTGCTTTAAGGAGAGGAACGAGCACAAGTTTCTGCTGCACGGAAGGTGGGGAAAAAGGAAAATCTGAGACTGTTGCTGAGGTTTGAGCAAAACTAAAACAAAATCAAAGACTTGTCAGTAAAATGCTGAGCAGGTGAAACAAATCATAAAAAACTTCAGATGCATTTATAAACCTAAACTGAGACGTTGTGTCTGGACCTTCAGTTAACAAACCTGTTCTCATACTGCTCTTAATCTGTTGTCAGTACACTGTTTAAAATGAAGGTAATGCTGAAAAAACTGAATATTTATTTATCCAGATTTCTTGTAATTTATRGTCTAATTAAAAAAAAATACAAACAAATCTTGTTTTAATGTTATAAAATTATTGGTTTATTTAAAAAAATCAGTACAAAAGATTTAAAATGAAGCATTAATTTAGCAGTTTAATGCTATTTAAACAAACTTTGACACTATCGTATCATGTAAATATAATAAATCTGTCACTCAGGTGCTTCTCTAATGAGGTTGCAGAACAAACAGGAGATCTTATCTAAAACATTTCAGCTGTCAAGATAATCTGTAATATTTCAACGCTCGTCGACAAGGAGATGATAATCTGTGTGTAAATCCTGTAATTACCCTGTTAGAAAAGATCCACCTGATCTTTTCCAAAAAGGGAAGAAAAAAAGTAGCTGCATTGAAATCAGGTTTCTGCAGGAAAAATAATAAAACGGAAACTTCGGCTGCAGAGGTGTGCTGCTAATTCTGATATCTGTGCCTCTTTTTACTCATTTATTCTCACTAATCCATTGGATTAACATGGAAAGGGGACATACGTGTCCACAATTTGAAAACAATTTATTGCGTCAATAAAAGGTGCTGGGAGTCATGTCAGCCCCTTGTTTCCTGAAAAAAAGAAATGCTTAAAGAACCAAACAGCTTTGAACTAAAGAGCCACTTATTTCTATAACAGCTTTAATTACTGGATTTTAACAACAAAAAGGTCGCTTAACTTCAGCTTAATAAGTCAGTCCTGCCGGAATGAAACGTTTTTTTTCTCTCCATCTACAACAGGTAAGCTATTGATAGTTCATAAAGTTTTATTTTAAAACATTTAAAAAGGGGACATATCATGCAAAATCCACTTTTTTAGCTGTTAATACTGTAGTAGCAGTATAATTTGTTGTGTTGTTGGAGTCTCTATGAATTTAATTTGTCCTGGTGCTACAAAGATATCTTTATATTCTGTTTGGGTTTTCTCTGTTTTCTGAACTATTAAGTCACACTATTTGTGACAGAATGTCTAAATAAGCTCTGGACTCACCAACTACAATTTGGTGGTTTTCATTCTCCTCTGGCTCCAACATGTAAGGCTGGATGGACAAGTCTTCTGTTGTTCATCTTTTAATTCATTTGTAAATAAAATGTTTCTGTGCAGCTACATAGTCGTAAAACCCCTCTATTAAACTGGAGTGGACCACTCTGGAAGCTGGAGGAGGGCAGGGAAAACGAGTTGATCTGAGACACACCTCAGAAAAGCGGTGAAAGAGGGGCTTGTGGAGTTACAATAAGGAGGAATTCACACCAAAMTGTTGCAGTTCCACTTTTTTTGTCCCCAACTGAAGGATTTAAATGTAAAAAAAGGAGGATTTAAAAGCAGGATATGTCTCCTTTAAACTATGGAATTAAGTTACAGATCATATTAACCACATTTTGTAAATCAAACCTACTAATCTGATCATTGCTGCTGTAAACTTGGGTTGGGCAAAGTTGTATTGTGTGCAATTATTGGTCAGTAAAACTGTCAACAATTAACATTTTCCACTATGCAATTACTGTAATTCGTGCCAAGTAATGACGTATATTTGTGTGCGATACGCCATCACTYTCACGTGAGCCCAAAGGTGGAAGGCGGCGTGGAGCGGCTAACGCTACAAACTTAATCGACGACATAAACCGGAGTACAAGGAAAGACAGAAAATACAGACTACGGCAAGTGCATCTAATAACTGTGATCATTTTTTATGTCAACGTTGCCCAACCTTACTGTAAACTGCATTTTCTTGCTTAACTTTCCCAACTAAAGCTGATCTCACGCTCTTYACAAAAGAGAAAAAAAAAGACAAACAATTCTCTTTAAAATCTCATTCTTCTTTAATTTACAAACATAAGAACACAGAACTGTCCGCGTTTCTTTGGGCAGAGCTGTAAACACGCCATCAGAGCTGTTATTAAGGCTCCTCCAGGGAGAACGGCGCCGAACCACGCCCGCCTGTTTACCGTCACAACGTTCATTAGAGACGAGCCKGGCCTCTGTTTATCCATGCAACACCCGTACTTGTGGCCGTACGGTAACGGGAGGTTCAGTTTTTTTTTTATTGTTGTATATTTTTTCTGCAGTAACAGAAACCCACAGTTTGATGATGTGTTGTTAATGGAAATGACAGGACTGGTTAAAACCGGGTTAAATGAAGAGGATTTACCCCTAAATGAACCGCATGCATCTGCTCCTGCGTCACTTCCTGCCTCAGTCTGACGTGGGTGGGTGGGGGAGCTGAAAACCTTCAGGATGCTGATGGAGCTCGAGTGAGTCAGACCGACGAGGCCTTCGATCCGGGACAGGAGGGAACAAACGCCTGAAGACAAAAAYAAGAGACAAAAATGTTCAGTATTCTGGGTCGAGTCTTGAGTTACAGAAATGTGGCTCCTGAGGGAATCAGCTGTGGTGTTTAGCCATCGTGAAGGCTGGGAGAAATGTTCCAACTATCAGCTGTCCAGCTTTTGTTTCTTTATTCAAGAATCCTGACCGGGTTCACTCACATTAACCACTTCCTGCRCGTTTTAAAGGGGACATATCTGCAAATTCCACTTTCTGAGCCGTTAAATACATTTTGTTGTGTATTTGTAGTCACTATGACTGCAGAAAAGTTTAATTTAAGCATTTTACTGTTTTTGTTTCTTGTTTTTACTTTCATTTTTTATTTCCTGCTTTTATTTCTTCCTGTGTTTTTTGATTGCATTTGTTTGTATGAGCTGTGTTTGAATGTTGATTCTGTACAGCACTTTGGTCTGCTGTGGTGCAAAAAGTGCTTTACAAATAAAGTTGGACCAGACCCTGGATGCAAGGCTGGATGGACAAGTCTTCCCTTGACATCTTTAAATTAAATAAGTTGTAAATAAAACATTTCTGCGCAGCTACAGTGGTTAAAATAAGTATTGAACATGTCACCATTTTTCTCAGTAAATATATTACTAGAGGTGCTAATG